GCCAAATGAACGATCGTCTCTCCACATGGTCTTTCGGACAATAAACTGTTTGTGAAAGCCGTCAATCAACTAGCTATTTGGGGACACAAAGTTTCTTTACTGTGGTAATATACACTACATGTATATGTATGGTGAGGTACTAGCACCAACTCGGTTTTACAGTGAAAACTGCATGTACTTTAAACAGGCACTACGAAACATACTGATAAACCAGAATAAGTGTTTCTACTGCAAACCCTTCTCTTTGTGCTTGATAAACGATCGACTGTCCACATGCTGAATTCTGAGAGTTAAATGTGTGGGAAAGCATTCAGTCACCTAGCTTGTAGTCACACAAAGTTTCTTTCAGTGGGAAATACAACACTTACATATATATGGGGAAGTACTAGCTCCAAATCAGTTTTACACTGAAAACTGCATGAACTTCAAACCGGCACTAGGAAACATAATGAGAAACCAGAGTAAAAGTTTCTACTGCAACCCCTTCCCATTGTGCCAAATGAACGAGCGTCTCTCCACATGCTCAATTCTGAGAGTTAAGTGTGTGTGAAAGCCATCAATCACCTAGCTTCTTGAGAACACAAAGTTTCTTTTCACTGGGAAACAGCACTACATATATATATATATAGGGAGGCACTAGCTACAACTCGGTTTTACAGTGAAAACTGCATGAACTTCAAACCGGCACTAGGAAACATGAGAAACCAGAGTAGTAGTTTCTACTGCAACCCCTTCCCTTTGTGCTAGATGAACGAACATCTGTCCACATGCTCAATTCTGAACATTAAGTATTGTGAAAGCCGTTAAACAGCTAGCTTGTTGGGAAAACAAATTTCTTTTCAGTGGGAAACTACACTATACATGTATGGGGAGGTAATAGCTCCAACTCTGTTATACAGTGAAAACTGCATGAATCCAACCGGCACTAGGAAACATACTGAGAAACCAGATTTAGTGTTTCTACTGCATCTACTTCCCTTTGTGCTAGATGAACGAACGTCTATCCACATGCTCATTTCTCAGGGTTAAGTGTGAGTGAAAGCCTTCAATCACCTAGCGTGTTGGGAGCACAAAGTTTCTTTTCAATGGGAAACTTCACTACCTACATATATATGGGGAGGTACTCGGTTCAAATCCGTTTTACAGTGAAAACTGCATGAACTTCAAACCGGCACTTGGAAACATACTGAGATACTTGAGTAAGTGTTTCCACTCAACACATTCCCTTTGTGTTAGATGAACGAACATCTCTGCACATGCTCAATTCTGAGAGTTAAGTTTGTGTGAAAGCCGTCAATCACTGATCTTGTTGGGAACACAAAGTTTCTTTTCAATGGTAAACTACACTATATAAACATATATGGGGAGATACTAGCTCTGTCTCTATTTTACAGTGAAAACAGTATGAACATCAAATCAGTACTAGAAAACTAACTGAGAAACCAGAGTAAGTGTTTCTACTGCCACCCCTTCCTTTTTGCTAAATGAACGAAAGTCTCTCCACATGCTGAATTCTGAGAGTTAAGTGTGTGTGAAAGCCGTCAATCACCAAGGTTGTTGGGAATACAAAGTTTCTTTTCAGTGGGAAACAACACTACATACATATATATGGGGAGGTACTAGCTCTAATTCAATTTAACAGTGAAAACTGTATGAAATTCAAATCAGCACTAGGAAACAGACTGAGAAACCAGATTAAGTGTTTATAATGCAACATATTTAGTTTGTGGTAGATGAACCAACTATCTCCACATGCTCTAACTGAGAGTTAAGTGAGGGCCAACCTCGTCAATCACTTTGCTTGTTGAGAACACACAGTTTGTATTCAGTGGGAATAAACAATGCAAACATATATATGGGGAGGTACTAGCTACAACTCAGTTTTACAATGAAAACTGCATGAACTTATACTCGGCATTAGGAAACATACTGAGATACCAGAGTAAGTTTTTCTACTGAAAAGCATTCTCTTTTTGCTAGATTAACGAAAGTTTCTCCACATGCTAACTTCTGACATATAATTATGTTTGAAAGCCATCAATCACCTAGCTTCTGGGGAAAACAAAGTTTCTTTTCAGTGGGAACTAAACTACATACATATATATGGTGAGGTATTAGCTACATGACGGTTTTATACTGAAAACTGCATGAACTTAAATGCGGCATTAGGATGCATACTGAGAAACCAGAGTAATTTTTTATAGTGCAAAATATTCCTTTTGTGGTAGATGAACGAAATTCTGCCCACATGATCAAATCTGAGAGTTAAGTGTGTATGAAAGCCGTCAATCAACTAGCAAGTTGGGAACACACAGATTCTTTTCAGTGGGAAACTGCAGTACTGACATATATATGGGGAGGAACTAGATCTAACTGACTTTTGCTGTGAAAAATGCATGTTCTTCAAATGGGCACTAGGAAACATACTGAAAATCCAGATTAAGTGATTCTACTGCAACACACACACTTTAAACTTGATGAACGAACATCTCCCCATATGCTCAATTCTGACGTAGAAGTGTGTGTGAAAGCCGTCTATCACCTAGCTTGTTGGGAAACAGAGTTTCTTTTCAGAGAGAAACTACACTACATAAATATATATGCGGAGGTAGTAGCTCCAACTCGGTTTTCCAGTGAAAACTGCATGAAATTCAAATTGGCAATTGGAAACATACTGAGAAAGCAGAGTAAGGGTTTATATTGCAACATATTCAATTTGTGGTAGATGAACGAATGTCGCTTCACATGTTCTATTCTGAGAGTTAATAGTGTTTGAAAGCCATCATTCACCTAGCTTTTTGGGAACACACAGTTTCTTTTCAGTGGGTAATTACACTACATATATATATGGAGAGGTACTAGCCCCAACTCGGTTTTATTGTGAAAACGGCATGAACTTCAAATTAGCACTAGGAACCATACTGAGAAAGCAGAGTAAGTGTTTCTACTGCAACATATTCCTTTTGTGGTACATGAACGAAAGTCTCTTCACATACTCAATTCAGAGAGTTAATTGTGAAAGCCATCATTCACCTAGCTTCTTGGGAATACACAGTTTCTTTTCAGTGGGAAACTGCATTACATACTTATATATGGGGAGGTAGCAGCTCCAACTTGTTTTAAAATGAAAACTGCATGAACTTCATACAAGCACTAGGAAAATATCTGAGAATGTTGAATAAATGTTTCAAATGCAAACCAATCCCATTGTGCTAGATGAACGAACGTCTTTCCACATGCTCAATTCTGAGAGTTAAGTGTGCTTGAAAGCCGTCAATAAGCTAGCTAGTTGGGAACACACAGTTTCTTTTCAGTGGGATACTACACTACATAAATACATGTGGGGAGGTAGTAGCTACAACTTGGTTTTACAGTTAAAATTGCATGAACTTCAAACCTGCACTAGGAAAAATACCGAGATATCAGAGTAAGTGTTTCTACTGCAAACCATTCCTTTCATGCTAGATGATCGAACATCTTTCCACATGCTCAATTCTGTGTGTTGTGTGTGTGAAAGCCATCAATCACCTTGCTTGTTGGGAACACAGTTTCTTTTCTGTGGAAAATGACACTACATACATATATATTGGGAGGAACTTGCTCCAACTCATGTTTAAAGTGAAAACTGTATGAAATTCAAACCGGTACTCGGAAATATACCGAGAAAGCAGACTAAGTGTTCCTAGTGCAACCGATTCCGCTTGGTAGATGAACGAACCACTCTCCACATGCTCAATTCTGAGAGTTGAGTGTGTGTGAAATCCGTCAATCACCTAGATTTTTGAGAATATACAGTTTCTATTCAGTGGGAAACTACACAACATTCATATTATAGGGAGGTAATAACTCCAACACTTCTTTTCAGTGAAAACTGCATGAACTTCAAACCGGTTCTTTAAAACATACTTAGATACCAGAATAAGAGTTTCTACAGCAACCCATTCCGTTTATGTAGATCAACGAACATCTCTACACATGCTCAATTCTGAGAGTAAAGTGTGTGTGAAAGCCAAAAATCAACAAGCTTTTAGGGATCACACAGTTTATTTTCAGTGGGAAAATACATTACATACATATATTTCTAGAGGTACAAGCTCCAACTCGGTTTTACAGTGAAAGCAGCATGAAATTCAAACCGGCACTGGGAAACATACTGAGAAATCACATTCAGTATTTCTACTGCAATCCATTCCCTTTGTGCTAGATGAACGAACATCTCTCCACATGCTCACTTCTGAAGGTTAAGTGTTTGTGAAAGCCGACATTCAAATAGCTTGTTGGGAACACACAGATTCCTTTACGTTAGAAACTACACTACATAAATATATATGAGGAGATAGTAGCCCGAAATCTGTTTTACAGTGAAAACCTCATGAACTTGAAACC